CTTTCATTTTTTTCTGAAAAGGTGGTGTCTATTTACTTGTGACCACGCTGTGTATATACATAAACACACAATATTGCTTAAATGCTTTTAAATTTAGTGGGGTAATAGCCAAATGGTATATATGTTATAGTTTGTTTACTCATCAAATAGTGTGAGACTCCTTGAGGGACAAATAAATAATTTAGTTTCTTATGTTTTTGGCCAAGCAGAGCAGAAACGGTATCATAATTCAAAGTGAGGTAAAATAAACATCTGTGGATACATAAAGAGTTATGAAACGCAAATGACTCGACACGATATATGATTCTAAAGTCTTCACTACTGGGTCATTGGATGCAGATAGATTATAGATAAATACATATACATGTATATTTATATCGCCAGCCTTACTGATTGATTCAGTGTGGAAAAGTGGTTGTGTGTGAAATGGATTTATTGATAACAATATTACTTAGAGTAGAACTGCCGATAAAAAAGAACGATGCGATATTATATAGATTCTTCAACCTACCGTTTTCTTTCTTGAGAATTCACAGAAAACTTTTATATCAATAGTGCACAAGGTGGTTAATTTTCCTTTCCCTTTGCTGGAAACAAATAACAAAATGTACTTAAATCGAAAGAAAATATTAGTACAAGGCCTCCAATGATGTTGTTGTCCAAATACGGAAACGATATTCTTCTAAGAATGTACTATGTGTACACCCGGTGTATAAATAATAAATACAATTAGTGACAGTTTAATAAACAAGTTAACAGAGAGATACTTATCCAAAGATTCTCTTACCTTCGCATCTATCATAGAATTTCAAATATAATGTTTGTTATTTCCTTAGAAGTAAATATTTACGTTTAATCAAGTTACAGAATCCAATAAGGTTTATAAATACACAGTTCAATAGCCATTTTTATTTGTGTTTTAAGCACCAGTTTCCGACAAGCGAAAGTTTAGTAAACTGCTTTATCTGTCTCCATTCTAAGTTCTAGGTTCGATATAAAAACAAGGAATATTGTTCTAACTCATTAAGCATGAATTAGGCCATAAACAGAGAATGTTCATTAAATAGCAATTAAATTAACGGATACTATTAATCTGATAGAGCTTTTATCGTTTTTTTTTTTATTAATTCATTTTCTTTACCAGAAATTGAAATAAACACCTGCATCTGTTGGAGTCATTAAACTCCTATTAAGAATTTCTTAATTCATTAAATAATGTCAGAATCAGATAAGTCCAAATTAGTTTTTCGTATTTTCTTTCGGGAAATTTATCTAATTGGATTTTTTTGGATCAATTAAGTCAAAAAAAAAATCAGATTTTTTTATTAAAGGTATGCTTTATTCCTCAAGCTTTATAGCTTGGTAAATGTCTGATTTAATAATGAAATTCTCCAGAGAAATATCGCCTTAGATTTTCTGCCAAGAATTTGCCACTAAAGAGCCGTAGGACCAAGAAAACTCAGATATTAAAATGACTTAATAAGGCTCCGCTTTCTCGCAGCTACTAATTTATTTTTAGTATATTTTCTGCCGTTTGAGGATGGTGTCTTGTGATCTGACAGCTATTTATATTTCTTTTCTGGAAAGTAGCATGAAAATTGTCTATCAGGTTGAATTCCATCTTGGAGATTATTTTTTATGTTATGAAATATAATTCGTAATAAATAATATTCTAGTTAATTAACTATTAAAGCTGAGCATACGTTATATTTAAATAGAAAACAATCATGCTAAATCATATAATATAGTAAATAAATTTCATCATATCACAGTTTTACACAATTAAAAGGTATGCAGATATGTTTCCTAGCTTACATGTGTTGAATATTTAGCTCAGGATCTCCCCCTAAACCGTAAGCGAAGTAATGCTTTTTTTGGGTTGTAGGGTAAGAAACAAGAAATTCCGATAATTGTTTCTGGGAGTTTATTCATACATCGTTGTAAGTTTCAGAATCTGCTGTATCCATGTGATGGTAACGTATTTCAATCTGGAGTTATGAGCAATCAAAGAAACACTGAGTTTCGGAGTAGCTGCACCACCTCACACATTAATCGATCATCTCCTATTTTGAAAGCCTGATATGGCCTGGTGGTTAGAACTCTGGCTCGTACTCCGCTGGTTGCGAGTTCGAATCCGTTACCGAAAACGCCCTACTTTTCAGCCGTGGGGCGTTACAAAGTGACAGTCAATGCCCAAGAGCTACACTACTTTTGTTGTCAGTACCAAACTTTTTTTTTTTTTGAGTGCCGTCGCAGTATCTTTGAGCTTGATAGATGAATTTGTTGTAACATGGGCTATCAAAAAGTCCATCGTGATCGCATTCACAATGGTTGCAGGTCGAACATCTTTGAACCTTGCACATTGCGAAGAGTAACAAAGTTCCAGTCATGGTCAACGATGCTGGGAGCTATCTGCTGAAGATCTATTAGGATGTGATCTGAAAAACATATGCAGCAAGGGTGAAGAAGAACAAGGTCCATGTAGTGGATCAGTTGATTATTATTATAACAAGGACTACTGTCATGAACTATGAGTCTGCTGATGATGTGACCAGTCATAACTCTGTCAATGTCTGTTGGATTTAGAAGCTGTAAAGTTTAATCGTCATATCTCATCGTATGCCGCATTTTTTTTAAAGCTTTACTAAAATCGAATAAATTAAGATTTTTTTTTACGTCCGATACCTGTCACCGAGGCGTCTTTGGTTGAGAAGGATGTGTTAATACCACTCTTGCATCTTTGGTTGAGAAGGAGATCATGTTTTAATATCACTCCTGCGTCTTTGTTTGAGAAGGATGTGTTAATATCACTCTTGCATCTTTGGTTGAGAAGTAGATCATGTTTTGATATCACTCCTGCGTCTTTGTTTGAGAAGGATGTGTTAATATCACTCTTGCATCTTTGGTTGAGAAGGAGATCATGTGTTAATATCACTCCTGCGTCTTTGGATGAGAAGGATGTGTTAATATTATTACTGCGTCTTTGGATGAGAAGGATGTGTTAATATCACTCCTGCAACTTTGGTTGAGAAGGAGTTCATGTGTTAATACCACTACTGCGTCTTTGGTTGAGAAGGATGTGTTAATATCACTCTTGCATCTTTGGTTGAGAAGGAGATCATGTGTTGATATCACGACTTCGTCTTTGGTTGAGAAGGAGATCATGTGTTGATATCACTACTACGTCTTTGGTTGAGAAGGAGATAATGTGTTGATATCACTACTGCGTCTTTGGTTGAGAAGGAGATCATGTGTTAATATCCTTACTGCGTCTTTGGTTGAGAAGGATGTGATAATATCACTCCTGCGTCTTTGGTTGAGCCAAAATACATTAGTTGATATAACCATATAAAAAAATATGTACCATTTAGAAACAAAGAAGGATTGGGCATGGCCTTGCAGTAACCGTGCACAGACTGCGAATCCGAGAATTCAGGGTTCGCGTTCTGTTGCTACTGGAATGCGCTGCGCACTAACTATGACAGTCAAATCCCTCTATTTAGTCATATAAAAATTGTCCGAGAGTTGAAGGTGGGTGCTGTTCCCTCTAGTCTATCAGCTCAAAATTAGGGACGGCTATCACAGATAGCCCCTTGTATAGTTTTTCATGAAAATTCCGAAACACAAAACAGATACAAACAAAATCTCTTAGACGTTGTAATCCATAAAGCTTGTAAACATGAAGAAGCACGCGACAAACTGTTTGCGTAGGGAATACGCATTAAGAAAGTTTTACAGTCGAATGAATGTTGCGACTTTAGGGTATACTTACTTTACTTTAACTAGCTGTGTCTTAATATTTAGAACATTAAATCTATATTAAAAATAAATCACTTTCAGTTTCTGCAAAGTTCAAGTAAGATGATAGACGTTGTCAAACTTTAAGTGTTGTATAATTGATACACATTACCATTACAACATTACCATTTAGTGTTCGTGTTCTCATCTGGACTCCACAAAACAATTCTACTATGAATGAATAACCTAGCACCCTGTTTTCTAAAGGTAGAATTTACAGATAATATTTATAAATATTTGAATTACGTTTTGGTAAAATTTATCTCCTACTTATAATATTATTTATAAAGCTAGAAAAATCTCCACGAATTTGAAATTTTATACAACGTAATTTGATTAACAAATAACATTTTAACTTTTGTCTTCATTGCTTTTCTGGATTTAGATTTCGGATGTACTTCAAGATAGCCATGAGTTGTTGTAGATTGAAAGGAAACAAGGACTCCGTCCATCGATGGACTAGAGGTGAACACCAAGTCCAGGAAGTTTGTTTACACGATAACCGCTCACCAACTTTAAGGACGACCTTTAGTTCTACTAAAAGTCGCCGTTGGTCTATTCTAGATCGTCACAACTCAGTCAGACAACCTCACCAAGAATATCATTTCTGAGTGCATATATTATGTTACCAAATAGAACTGAGATACTTTTTTTGTGTTTGGGTACAGTGTTTATGATTGAGACCGTAATAAAACTGGAATAAATTATATATATATATATATACAGTCGGTACATCAATAAGTTTTATGTCAGCAAAAACTACTAATTGTGTCAAAGTTAAAGAGGCCATTAAGGTTCAATGTTATCACGTACGTGTTTAGATATGTAGGTTTGATCATTAAGCTAAGTGTTATCACATATATGTTTAGATGTGTAGGTTTGGTCATTATGGTTCGGTGTTATAACATACATGCTTCAATATGAATGTTTGATAATTAAGGTTTAGTGTTATCACATATATATGTTTAGAAATGTGGGTTTAATCACTACGTTTTGATATTATCACATACATGCTTCGATATGTAGGTTTAATCATTACGTTTCAGTGTTATCACCGTAGCTGTGCGCTCTACCTTTTCAATGGAGCGCCACTATCGCTAACGTTACAGCAAGAAAAATAAAGCGGCGCTACAACTGTCGCTATATATTTATAAATATAGCTGCGCTACCGTTACCGCTACCTTTGAAACTGACATTTTTCATTGTTAATGTAAGAATGAAAAACGCAAATCTATTGGTAAATGGTAATAATGTATTACTACAATAACATAATACAGACTTCTCAGAACAGCCTATCCATATTTATGAATGATGAGAGGTAAGCAGCTAACAGCCGTACATCCTTCGATACATTCAATGATAGTACTTAAAGGACAGAAAGTAAAAAAAAAATGAATAGGATGACAGTAATAATAATAAACGAACTAATAAGTTCACGACACGAACTGCATCACGTAACACGTTTAATTGTTTTTCGTAAGCAAAATGCTTTTTGTTTGTTTAAAAATAAGCACAAAGCTACACAGTGGGCTATCTGTACGCTGCCCACCACCGGTGTCGATACCCGGTTTCCAACATTCTAAGTCTGCAGATATACCGCTGTGCCATTGGGGGAAGGGCAAGCAAAATGCACTGTAAATATAATTATATACAATATATTATACTAAATGCAATATACAAAATTATATAATACTACCATATGTTATAATAAATATATATTATTTTATTAATAATAATACATAATGTATATTATAAATCACGATTTATAATAATATATATGTCTGGGATTTTCTTATCTAATTATCCGAGCCCCCCCCCCCCTCAGTGGCACAGCGGAATGTCTGCTGACTTACAATGCTAGAAATCGAGATTTGATACCCTTGGTGGGCAGAGCACAGATACAAACAAACAAACAAGTATCCGACATGAAATGTAAACTATCTGGCTCATACCTGCTAAAACTGTTCAGCTCATGAATTTAATAAAACATTTAACAATTCTTCTAAACTAAAAAACTAAATTAATAAACCTTCCAAGTTGATATTAAATTAAACTGAACATGTAAACAGTAAATATTAAATATAATAATATTATAAATAAATACAAAGAACGCTTTAGGTACATGTATTAAATATTACGTAGTATTAAGTCACGGATAGCTGACAAGCCATCGCTGCAGATCGAATCAGCTGAATATGGTTCAGTGTTATCA